TTCCATTATATTTTTTTTGTTTCAGTGTTGTACTAAGTTTCCTAAACAACATTGTAACACTCAGCTTGGTATGTTTTAACGTTACACTTGGTGTAGTAGGTTCCATTATATTTTTTTTGTTTCAGTGTTGTACTAAGTTTCCTAAACAACATTGTACTCTGTTTGGAAAGTATTAATGTTACGCTGGTTAGAGTAGGTTCCATTATATTTGTTTGATATCAGTGTTGTTCTCAGTTTAGTAGGTATCAGTGTGCTTAATTTAGTAGTTTAATTGTTGTACTTTATCTTTTGTATACCATGTCAGAATTTTCAGAAAGTTTCTTTAAACTTTAGTTCTGTAATTGGTTAGGTATTACAAGAAAACTAACTTGGCATGGCCTAGCGGTTAGGGTGCATGACTCACGTGGTATGTGTTGTGGGTTCGAATCCTTGTTACTGAACCTGCTCGCCCTTTCAGCTGTGGGGGCATTATACTGTGACAATCAATCCCACTATTTGTTGATAAAAGAGTAGCCCTAGATTGATAGTGGGTGGTGAAATGTAGATATAAAAATTGATTTTATTTTTGTTATTGGTTTTAAATCTGTTGCAAAAACAAATTTTACTTTTGTACGAACTAGATAAAAAAAAAATAAGCTGGTCTTGGTATAGGAAAAATATCATGATAGGATAACGTACTTTTGTAATTTTGATCACATACATATCCATGTACTTTGTAATAACGTATAATTCTGGTTTATATATCATTATAGTGATTTAAAGTAACCATTTCATAGTTTACTGAAAAATAAAAATGAAGTTTAATCTTACTGTGTGAGTTAAAGACATTTCTTAACACTTGGTAGTTTGCTCTGTAGTCCTCTACTACTATATGATGACCAATGCTAAGTGGGATTCATTTTGCCTTTAAAACTATATTCAAGTAGATTTGATAGAGTAGTGGCCATGGCTGTTATTGTGTTAGTAATTTAATAATTTGGTTCTTACAAATTTCTTTCTCAGGAAAACGTTTGTTTCGTCAATGGCTTTGTTCTCCTTTATGTAACCCATCTTCAATTAATGACCGTTTGAATGCTGTGGAAGATTTGCGAGGCTTACCAGAAGTTAGAACTGAAGTAACTAAAATACTGAAGAAGTTGCCTGATCTTGAAAGGTTAATTAGCAAGTAAGTCATACGTGAGAAATTCACAATTCTAATTTGTATTTTTTTTCTAAATCCTTAAAACTCCTGTATAAATATTGTTGAGAATGACCTCAATCTGTTATTACAGTATTATATCAGAATTTTATAGATCAGGCTCGTGGCTACTTAAGGGGTTAGTTATCTACCCTAATTTATTTTGAATCAACATTAATGTCTGTGAAAGTTTTGTGCAATGACTTTAAAATAGATTTCAGGTAAAAGTTGTGTAACAGTTTCCCTTTTCAATACTTGTTTGAATAAAACGAAATATATATATATATATATATATATAGTAATAGTCATAAATATAACATAGTAACATCAGACGTACAAGTTTTTAAAACTTCTGTTTTTCTTTGCATGGAAAATTTAGCATTTGGTTATCTTCTGCATAAAATACTTAATGCCGCTGCACTAAAGATTTTTGAATACGAGAGCTGTCTTAATGATATAAATAACTTTTACATTAAAAAATCCTAACTTTTGAATTATTTTGTCAGTTTCCTTTTGCTTTTCTTAGTGTTCTAATGGGTATTCTGTGCAAAAACATTTGTATGACAATAAACAAAAACTGTTTTTACCATTTCAAACTTCTTTTAGGTCAGTTGCATATTCTTAGTTTTTTTTTAAGTTATAACCTTCATCTGTAGTTAATAATGGCTGGAGACGGCTTGAATGGGTAATGAAGAAAAACTTTAACATAACAGCAAATGTACAACGTTTGTACCTGATGATGACAAAACCTTGTCGAAACGTTGTACATTTGCTGTTATGTTAAACTTATGTTAAAGTTTTTCTTCATTACCCATTCAAGCCGTCTCCAGCCATTATTAGCCTCAAAGTGGGTTCCTCATCACCGAATTTGAATTCATCTGTAGTTACTTTATTTTTGTAATGATGTTTGTGTTTTTAATATGTTAATAACAATATTGACTGATCCCCAGTCCACCTCTTGAAAGTGCTAGGTTATATAGTTTTTTTCTTTAATTGACTTTTGAACCTAAGTATTTTCCTAACATCATGAAGAGTGATATTGCTATTTTATAATTTTGCTGGTATTATGGTAAACTTGCTCAATGCTGTTGACAAAATAAGTTAACATACTTTTAATAGAAAATGAATTCTGATAAAAAAGTTAGCACACAGGATCACATACAAAGAGTGCAATGAATTTCCAAAAAAGACCCAAAACTTGATAATTTTCGAATATTTGACTCTTCTTGTTCAGGAAAATAAAGAAATAGAATAGTCAACTATTTGAAAGTGCTCAAATTTTGGATCTTTTTATGAAATTTAATAGAAAATGTATATTTACTGAAATATATATATATCAGTCCATCATTCATACTTTTTTGTTAAATCTGTGTTTGGTTTCTTATTTTAAGTATAAATACTTTGATTAGAGAATATATCAAATAAGTTGATAGTGTGTGCACAACAAGAAATATTTAATAATACTTTTCACTTATTCCAGAATCCACACCCAGGGGTCAGCTCACAGGAGCAAATCACATCCAGACAGTAGAGCTATCTTTTATGAAGCTGAAACATACAGCAAGAGAAAAATAACAGATTTTCTATCTGCTCTTCAAGGCTTTCATTTGACATTGGAAATCCCTGATGTGTTTGGAAAGGTTCGAGATAACTTCAGGTAAGGGAATTTTTATGTGGAGTTAAAATGAAAGAGGTACATTGTGTATAAGAAGGTATTATTTTGACTGTTAGTGTTTAAAATATACTTTTTATTATTTACTGAAATTTGAAGCAATAATTTGTTCAAATGATTTTGTGCTCTGTTAAAAAATAACTACTATTGATTGGTCTACTTGAGCATTGTTTATAGTGAAATTAGTAAGATACCCTTCAAAGAATATACATCTAAGTAACTATATTTTACATTGAATTGTATGAAATAAGGTAGTTACTCCATTGTTTTATGTGCATTAGAAAGAAAGCTAGTTTTGAATTCTGTAACATTGTATTAATTTAAGTAGGGGCCCGGCATGGCCAGGTGGTTAGGGCACTCAACTCGCAATCTGTGGGTCGCAGGTTCGAATCCCCATCCTTTCAAACATGCTCGCCCTTTCAGCCGTGGGGGTGTTATATGTGTGACGGTCAATCCTACTATTCGTTGGTAAAAGAGTAGTCCAAGAGTTGGCGGTGGGTGGTGATGACTAGCTGCCTTCCCTCTAGTCTTACACTGCTAAATTAGGGATGGCTAGTGCAGAAAGCCCTCGTGTAGGTTTGCGCGAAATTCAAAACAAACAAACAAAATTTAAGTAGATACACTTCAAATTTACCAGGTTTTGAATGGGTCGATTCCTGATTCAAAGCGACGTACAATATCTCAATCAAAATTATTGAGTTTAAGCTAGACACTAGAAGATCTTTTACCATTTCAATCTTGTTAGGATTCTTAAAATTGTCTTTTGTTAGGTTTGTGTGCTCAAGAATTACCACTTAGTGGAATTAGCTTTATCTTTTATAATCCATGAAAGTTCTACCACATTTTGTCTCAAAAGATGTTGTTATTCCAAGACTGATTCGTGATCATACTTTATCTTGTTTTGTTAACGTAAGTATTAAGAAAATTTGAAACTTGTATTGCACAGTTATGCTAACTTATAGATTTATAATTTGCTGAATAAATAAGTTATCGTTGTCTTGTGTATGCTTTTCAATAGGTCAGAAACATTAAAACAATGTGTGACCTCTGTTCTTGAAGATGGAAAGTTTCCCGATTTGAAGGATACTTTGGACTTTTTTGATGTAAGATTTCAGTTATATAGTCTTAACATCCTAATTAATATTGTGTAGATATATTTTACTTAATGCAATCAAAGAAACGTTTTTTGACTTCATACTTAAGAAAATGGAGTGGTTACAACTTTAAACCCTAATTATTATGTTGTAGAACTTAATGGAAAATAATAAACACAGTAAATTGCTGATAGACTTTGGTATAACTTCCTTCCGTAGTGAGGAGACTAGGTTGTAAAATACATGAGAATAGGTATAGAAGAGAATGGCAGAAGGATGTTGGGAGAGAGATTTTATATGAAAACATGAGCTATGCCTGTTAGTTAACATGATTGGTGAAAACCCGTGGAAAAATTAGCAAAATGTGTCAAATCTTTTGGTTGATGTTAATTAAGTTTATGTGATCTGTTGCATATAATAAGTGTTCTGTCATGTGTTTAAAATAATATTTTCTACTGTTTATTATTGTGTTTTGTTCTACATGAAACTACTTTTGGCCACATGTAATCATGTACAGTTTCATGCAAGTTTTGGCACATGACTGTCATCAACATTGGAGTGATCTTACCATAATGTTAAAATGATCAAATGCATATTCGTCTCTAGACTAGCAGTTAGAAACTACTTTAAATTAGTCACTTCTATTTTTTTTGAAAATTAAATCAAATTTCAATCTTTCAATTTTTTTTTAATCAGAAAGCATTTGACCATGAAAAGGCCAAGAAAAATGGAAAAATAATTCCTAGCAAAGGTGAGAAGAGTATTAGTATATATTACTAGTATAAAGAATTTAGAATTACATCATTTTGTAAATTACAAAACAATATAATTGGTATTACCAAAAAGAACATCCTATGAGAATTATTGTGAATAGAAAGAACATCCTATGAGAATTATTGTGAATAGAAAGAACATCCTATGGTAACTATTGTGAATAGAAAGAACATCATGTGGTAACTATTGTGAATAGAAAGAACACCCTGTGGTAACTAATGTGAATAGAAAGAACATCATGTGGTAACTATTGTGAATAGAAAGAACACCCTGTGGTAACTAATGTGAATAGAAAGAACATCATGTGGTAACTATTGTGAATAGAAAGAACATCCTGTGGTAACTAATGTGAATAGAAAGAACACACGATGATAGTTAACGTGAATAGAAAGAACACGCGATGATAGTTAACATGAATAGAAAGAACTCCCTATGATAGTTAGTGTGAATAGAAAGAAAACCCTATGCAGGCCCACCAAGGGGGGGGGCAACTACCCTGGGGCCCATAAAAATGCCCCAACTTTAAACTTGACTTTTTAAAAATTTGCATACTCTTAAGCTAAGAATTCATAGACCAAAAAAACTTATGCAAAATTAGTCTACAAGCCAAGTTCAAAGTGGAAAATACCATAACATTGGACTGAATAAAGAAATTTCCTTCAAACATAGTTATAGCAATAGAACATTAAAAAACCGGTGGTACTGCTAATGCAACTGACAGTAAAAATAAAGATTTTGAGTTAAAGTCAGAGACAAAAACTTTGCACTAAAGAGAGATTTGTATGCTGGGAGCACTTTCCAGTGCACCATTCAGCAAACTAAAACTCATCAAGATCTTCTTGAGGAGCACGATAACACAGGATAGACTGAATGACCTAGCCGTCCTTAGTATTGAGAGCGAACTTGCGGGGAGAATTGACTTCAGTGAAATAATAAAAAGCTGTAACTTAGTGGTATTAAGACTTAAAATAGTGCTAAAAGTCTAGAGCTTCCCTCTTGGTCTCCCATTAGGGGCTTAGCTCATGGATCCCACTGGGGGCCTGGGGCTCGGCAGTGAATAGAAAGAACACCCTATGATAGGTAACGTGAATAGAAAGAACATATTATGATAGATAATGTGAATAGAAATAACACCCTATGATAGCTGATGCAAATAGAAAGAATACACTGTGGTAACTAACATGAATAGAAAGAACACCCTATGGTACCTAACGTGAATAGAAAGAACACTGTGGTAACTAATATGAATAGAAAGAACATATTATGATAGATAATGTGAATAGAAATAACACCCTATGGTACCTAACGTGAATAGAAAAAACACCCTATGGTAGGTAACGTGAATAGAAAGAACACTCTGTGATAGCCAATATGAATAGAAATAACACCCTATGGTGACTAATGTGAATAGAAATAACACCCTATGGTGACTAATGTGAATAGAAATAACGCCCTATGGTGACTAATGTGAATAGAAAGAACACCCTATAATAGCTGACATGAATAGAAAGAACACCCTATGGTACCTAACGTGAATAGAAAGAACACTGTGGTAACTAATATGAATAGAAAGAACATATTATGATAGATAATGTGAATAGAAATAACACCCTATGGTACCTAACGTGAATAGAAAGAACACCCTATGGTAACTAACATGAATAGAAAGAACACTCTGTGATAGCCAATATGAATAGAAAGAACATATTATGATAAATAATGTGAATAGAAATAACACCCTATGGTACCTAACGTGAACAGAAAGAGCACCCTATGGTAGCTAACGTGAATAGAAAGAACACTCTGTGATAGCCAATATGAATAGAAAGAACATATTATGATAGATAATGTGAATAGAAATAACACCCCATGGTACCTAACGTGAATAGAAATAACATCCTATGGTGACTAATGTGAATAGAAAGAACACCTTATGATAACTAATGTGAATAGAAAGAACACTCTATGATAGCTGACATGAATAGAAAGAACACTCTGTGGTAGCTAATATGAATAGAAAGAACATATGATAGATAATATGAATAGAAAGAACATCCTATGATAAGATCATAAATAATACTCAACGTTAAACTGGTACACAAAAACATTTTATTTAGGCCTATTTATAGCCTTCAAAAAGTTGACGACTCTACATGTTTCAATGTTACAACGTCA